AAACCGCTTAGAGAGGTCCATAAAGCACTTATAAGTCTAAGTGCTATTGCTATGGCTATTTTTCACACTTACCACCACTGCAGCATCCCTGTGGTCACATGATCAAAATTGAGATGCTTGGCAACTGACTCATAGTTATAACGGTTGCAGTGTCCAGGGGTCATGTGATGATCCTTTGTGACTTTCTGACAGTCAATGGAGAATCCGGATTTACTTAACCGTGTTACTAACTTAACAACTGCAGTGGTTCACTTAACAACTGTGACAAGAAAGGTCGTAAAATGAGACAAAACTCAATTAACAATTGTCTCACTTAGCAACAGAAATTCAGGGCTCAATTGTAGTCGTAAGCGAAAGACTGCTATATTAACTTTATAAGGTTGCCTATCTATGCATTGATACTCTGGGCAACAAGAAATAAAAAATATCAACAGTCATATGAAAACCCAAGTTGGGGACCCCCATTAAAAATCTCAGAAGATACCAACGCCATAAATGCAGACTAGAACTTCAATAACTACAGTCTGGCCAAGCCTCTGAGTGAAGAGGCCATTCTTTACAGCCTTTTGAAAGGCTGTTCGGATTGGACCATCCATATGTTTTGCTGCTTATCATCCAGAGCAAGTGCCTATCATTATTTGGACCAGGACTAATTGACCAATGACTTTTGCATGCCATGGTGTTTTTAGTAATCATTTCCAAGCCATAATCTAAAGGTATCTATCTTCTTTCTCTTGATGTCATTTTTTTTTTACTGTACCTATCACTGGAAATATTGCTTTAACTATGCTGATATTTGTTATTGAAATCCTCCATAATGGTTTCTAAGTTTGCCATTTCTTTCTAGGAATAGTCTTAGGTTTTGTTTCTTGAGTACAATATCCCTCCATATCTGTTCTGAAGCCCCACAAAATGAAATTGATGGTTGCATTACTTTTTTTTTTGGAGCAAGCTGTATGTTCACTAAATATAAGTTGATGTTACAATTTTTTTTAAAAAAATCTTCTATAATTTGTTTTATTGCATTATTGTAAACATAACTAGTACATTGTATTAGTTGAGTACAAGTAGCTTTTGATTTACAACCGTTCATTTAGTGACTGTTCAAAGTTACAATGGCACTGAAAAAATAACTTGATGACCATTTCTCACACTTAACGACCATTGCAGCATCCACAGGGTCACGATCAAAATTTGAGCACTTGGCAGCTGGCATGTATTTATGATGCAGCAAGATGCATCAAACTATATGATAAAGGCTTCTGTCTGAAACTTACCATGTTTCCCTGAAAATAAACCCTACCCTGAAAATAAGCCCTACTTAAGACCCCACCCATTCCATTGCATCTGGTTGCACAAGGTGGGACAAGGCCTGTTTCTCGGCTGCAGAATGGAGGCCGGGGGCAACGCATGTGAGGCAGGTGTTGGGGTGTAGGAGACCTGGTTGTGGCTCTTTTATGACTCGTGGACTTCAACTCCCAGAATTCCTGAGCCAGCCAGTGTTGAACCAACAATCAAGAAATAATGCCGCAATCAAGGAACTACCAACAAGCTAACAGTAAACAGTAGCCTAATCAAGGAGCCACCAACTCCCACTAACACTGGCAGGGCAAGCCATTAGTGCAGGGGTAGGCAACCTTGGCTCTTTTATGATTCGTGGACTTCAACTCCCAGAATTCCTGAGCCAAACTGGCTCAGGAATTCTGGGAGTTGAAGTCCACGAGTCATAAAAGAGCCAAGGTTGCCTACTTCTGTCCTAAGGTAAGTGGGTAGGACCCCCCCCCCAAATAAGACCTGGTGCCTCTTGGAGGCAAAAAAAAGTATATAAGACCAGATCTTATTTTCAGAGACACACCGTAGTATAGTGCTTAATACTGTATTGTTATTTATTATTGTTTGTACATATTAAAGAAAAAAGAAAAAATAGCAGCAGAAAGAAAAAGGAAAAAGGCTATTTGGTTTCTAATTTCCCCTTTTTGTGCCTTTGCCATTTTGTGATGTTGATAAGTAGGCCCCCTTAATATTCATCCAGAGTTTTTGTTTTATGTTTTTCAACTATCTAAGTTTTACTTACTTGCAGCTAATAAATTGATATGGCTGCATGTTAGGGCTGTTCATTATTTTGGATCTGGAAGCAAAAAAAAATGCTTTTCCTTGGGACCTCATTTAAGTTTTTTTAATGTATTTGTTTTAGAATCCAAAGTAATGCACAGCTTGACCACACGTTCAAATTGTTGCTGTTTAGTCACAGTTTTAATTTCAACTGTTAATTGTTTCAGTTCTGCTTTTTATATGACATATTTGCTGAACAAGGTAAACAAATTTGAGGACAATACGCTTCCTTGTCTCATTTCTATTTTAAACATTCTTACAATAGCTTCTCCTTCATTGAAAAGATTACTCAACTGATAAATCGTATTCTGATTCATTAATATGAATCATTAATACATTCCATGTTCTGACATATTCCTCTTGTATTCTCATACTGTCTCCATTATTTTTCTTAACACTAGCTACCTGTATCTCTTTGCTGAGTTTGTAGGCATGTGCAAAATACTTCACTTGGATTTTTTTCATTCTTAAAACTTCACAATGCTCCCTGTCTTGAGCATAATGGATTCCCTGAAGCATTTGGGAAAATATTTCCAATCCAAAGCAGTAATTTTGCCCTTGAAGCAGGACATTTCATGAAATTTCATGTTTGAAACACTTAAAAATGGAAAGTTTTGCACATCTCTATTTTTTTTAAAAACATCCTTTTTTATTTGGCATTTGTCTTTCCATGTACAGATAAACCTCAACTTACAACCATTCATTTAATGACTTTTGGAAGTTATAACAGCACCGAAAAAAGTGACTTATAGCTGTTTTTCACACATACAACTGTTGCAGCATCCCCATGGTCATGTAATGAAAATTCAGTTGCTTGGCAACTGGCATGTGTTTATGACAGCTGCAATGTCCCAGGGTCATGTGATCACCTTTTGTGACCCCCCCCCCCCGACAAGCAAAGTCAATGGGGAAGCCAGATTCATTTAACAAGTATGTTATTAACTCAACATGTGCAGTGATTCACTTAACAATTATGACAAGAAAGGTTGTAAAATGGGGCAAAACTCATTTAACAACTGTCTTAGCAATGGAAATTTGGGGGCTCAATTGTGGTCGTAAAGCGAGGATTACCTATATGGCTGCTTTTTGTAAGAAGTTAAGTAAATATTTATTAGCTTGTGGGAATTTGGTAATTTCTGCATACTTTTACACGTCCCTGTTTTTAGCACTGTATAGGCCAGTGATGGCAAACCTTTTAGACACCGAGTGCCCAAACTGCAACCCAAAACCCACTTATGTATCACCGGGTGCCGGGTGGGTGTGGCCCACTCGGCGGGTGCAGCTACAGTGGGCTTGGCAGGCTGAGTGGGTGTGGCCACTGGATGGGTGTGGCTGCAGTAGTCATGGCAGATTGGGTGGGCATGCCCAGAGTGGGCGTGGCCACTTGATGTTGTTTATGGGGAGGGACACTTGTGGGAGCTGGGCAGGGTTGGGGGAGATCCAGGGGGTATCTGGCAGGTGGGATGGTGGGCTCCCCAATGGCGGCTCCAGGCTGGCTGGCCTTAGGCCAGTGATGGTGAACTTTTAGAGACCACATGTGCTGGGGCAATGGCGCGTGCCCACAGAGAAGGCTCCGCGTGCCACCTCTGGCACCCGTGCCACAGGTTCGCCATCACTGGTATAGGCAGATACACTTTGTTTGCAACTGCCTAAGCCTCATGTAGAGATGTTAGCATTAACTATCTCTTTTCCTGCAGCTTTAAAGGATTCAGTGGGCATTTCATTTGCATTTGATGTATTCCTGTTTGAAGCTATTCTAGCGGGTCACGTTCTTGTTGAGCTAGTTCCTAAATATATCCTCTCTCCCTTCAAATGTCTTTGTCAATTTACAGTCTCTTTTGTAAACGATCCCAGTGTAGTCTTTTCATCTTCCTTGAATCTCATTTTCCCATTCGGATATTTTCTATAAGTTTTGTTGAATATTTTACCCTAGCTGAAAAATTTCCCTTGATTTCTGATTTTTTTTTTCTGGCTGCTTTTCTATTTCTTGATACTCTCCTCTATTCACAATCTTAACTTTTTGTGCCTTCTTTGATACTGAATGTCTGTGTCCAGTCACCATACATCCTTATTTCCTTTCCTTGATCTTTCCTCAGCTATCATGACATCTTGTTCTGAAAGACGCTTGAATCTTTTCCTTGGTAAAATTTTTTTTTGGGGGGGGGGGTTGGTTTGCTTATTTGTTTTTGCTTTGGTTTCCATAGATTTAGTTTTGCATAATTTAAGTATACTAAATCTGTACCATGCACTGACCTTGTGTTTTTACTATATAGCCTCTAGATCATATTTTACCGATATACCTTTTTTTCTTTGGTTTTCTAAGTTTAACCCATTTGAATAGCAGTAATTCATGGTCTGTTTTACAACCTGCAACTGGAAGTGTCTGACTGACTGGATTGTGAATGGCAGCTAAAAGAAGATGGTAGTGATGGCAGAGAAGCGTTTGAAGAATTATTAATAAAATAAGAAACCTACCATATTTCAGCTACTGAGGCAAAATATGGATTTCTGAATGAAGTGCTGCTACTCACTCCATCATAGTGTCATGTGGATTAGAATATTAAGATGTGGTAAACTTAAGTTACTTAAGGTGCTTTGAGTCTGCAGTGTCCACTTTACAAAATTCAGTAATGAATTGATAGTTTCTGTACAAAAGTATAGTCTAGACTGTTTGTAGATTAAGAAGGGCTCGTTCTGTAATTTTGATTTTAAAGAAATCAAAGTTGCATCAGAGATTGTTAAACTCTTAGAGGAAACATTTTAGATACCATTAAGAGTTGTGGGCATGATGGTCTTTAAATGTTTTATGTTGTCAGAACAAAAGGCAGATGTAGACGTCTGAAAAAATGACTGTTTCCTCAAGTTCTTTTCTTCTTGCACTATCACAGAATGACCAATGCCTGCCATCGTAAATGTGTTCCTCCTCACTACAAGGAAGCTGAACTGTCAAAAGGGGAATCCGTGTGCCTGGATCGCTGTGTCTCCAAGTATTTGGACATTCATGAGCGCATGGGCAAGAAACTGACAGAACTCTCAATGCAGGATGAAGAACTGATGAAACGGATGCAGCAAGGGACTGGACCTGCCTGAAGTCCGGCTTCAGATTCTCCAACCTATCTCTACACCTTGTGTCTGGACTGGTGTTAATTCTTGTTTTTGCCAGTAAAACATCCATACTGTGTTTCCTCTACCAGCTGCTAATGGGGCTGGAGCTCTGCCTTCCCTTTTTAGGCCTAATAAATGATTATGCCTTGTGAAGGAAAACAAACTCATCTCTAGAACCCTTTTGTTAGCTTATCCTTTCTCATTGAACATTGGAAGCTGAACCTTTGGGTTTGCTTAGTGGGCTATTTTAACACATTATCTAGCTCCACAGACTTTCCCGGCTTGTTTCCATTCCCTTGGCACACTAACAGAAAAAAAGAAGCAGTTTATAATTTTTCATGCATCAGTTTTCATTTAGTGAGAACAGCGTTCTTTCTTAGGTATGTTCAGTATTTCAAATTCAAGACCAGGCAGGGTACTTGAGTAGCACCTGCTTTTACTTCCTTAGAGCAGTTGCTATGTTTTTTTTCCCTGAAATCTGTTTACAGTACTGTACACCCAACAGATTTGTAGACATGCTGTGTGCCTCTCCCCAGGTGTCCCCCTTTTGCTTTTGACGACAAAGAACTGCAGGCGTTTCTATTTAGAAAAGTGTTTCCCTGCCTTGGCAACTTTGAAAGAAGTGGCGTTCAACTCCCAGAATTCCCCAGCCAATATGATCATTGCTGGAATTCTGGAAGTTGAAGTCCACACCTTCAGGAAAATGCTGGTTTAGAATCATAAGAGCTGAGGGGTATTAAGGGCATTTCTAATGCATTCCCTCTCCTGCAGCATGTGGAACCATTTAATTTACTTCCATAGGGAATGGGAGTGGTGCATCATGTGATACAACAACTATCTCTTAGCTAATCTAGGTAGTCAGCCAAGCTAAATGGGAGGGAAACAATCCAATTTACCAGCCAATGTCAGGAATGGGGAGGGGTGGAATCTTCCCTTGCTCCAAATTTCAGATATGAGATGTTTCAGAAGCAGACTTTTCCACAAAGGAAAAGGAACATGCTGGCCTATGTGATAATGCCTGATAACATAATAGTTAAATGTTTAAGTAATTGGTATGAGCGAAGTATTTCCCGTGATTGGGCTCTTTGGTAAACTGGCTGCAGTTGCAACAGACAATCAGAAGGGGGAACTAAAGTCTGCAACTTTGAAGGTCCCAGGATTGCTTGGTTGGTTTGCAGATTTCAGAAAATAGGAACCCCAGTATGTGGAACTCTTACTGGACACAGGCAGAGACCAAGTACTGTACTGAGAATTGTACACTATTTGGTAAGTGATTTCTGATTCAACCACTTCTTCAAAGAAAGATTACTCAAATTATTAGCTGCTGGCTTCTTGGCTAAAATATAGCTGCTGTTCTTTGATGTTCTTATTGAACCAGCAATTTTTCGTCATCTCCTGGTAGCTTTTTATTAGAGTATACAAACAATTTCTCTGTAATTTGAAGCAGAGATCCTATTTCTCTTCATGTTGTCTTAATTTTGCTGGAAATAAGATGTGGCACGTTATTGCTTTCCAAAGAGCTTTTTGCCTCAAATGCACTTATAATTCATTAGCTGTTGAAGAATGCCTCTGTGTTTCTGCATTGTTGTGGGTGCTGCAGTCTCTAGTGTGACATTTATGAATATACAGGTGCTTTCAGAAGCCTGCCATGGGGCTCACTATGCATTCTCATCCCCCCCACCCCAATAGATTGACTGATATTTTTAAAAATGGTCTCTCAAAACAGCATTATTCTTTGCCTGCTTGGTGCTCCTTTCTGGGTCCCTAACGCACACACCCACTTTCATTTGGATTTCACAGCATATTTGTGGGTTGCGGAGGCTAAATTATGCCTGTTGTGGCTTGTAGGAGAAAAATGTGAAGGGGGAGGGAAAAACAGATGGAGGCCATGGGAGGAAGGTGGAAAAGCGTGGGTTGGTCCAGGATGGTGCGTTTGTGTGAGGGAGGGAGAAAAATAAAACCATGAAGAAAAAAAGAAAATGCAATTAAATAGAAAAATCAGTGGAAGAGGTCTGGGTAAAGGAGACCACGGGGAAGTGCAAGGAAAAAAATATGGCAGTAAAGTGTAGGTTTACATCTCATCTGCACATGTACACACACACACACACACACACAAGTGTGAAACAAACCTTGGTGATTGGTACTTTTTAAGGAGTGAGTTGAGCTGGTTAGCATTGATAGGCAGTAGAAGAAATGAGTTGGCTGGTGGAAGCAGAAGAACCATTTGCTTTTTTTCTTGCACTCTACGAAATGGAGGTTCTACGGAAGCAGAAAGCCATGGTTTTAGTGTTCGCTACCCCTCTATTTGGCGCAAATTATTATTTCTCCTTTAGCCTCACTATTGCCATTCTGTGTCAGCGCTCACAGCTATTTTTATTTTTTTTTAAGAAAACACCAAGTAGATCTCTAAGCCCCAAACCTTAGATATCTAACTAAGCACACTGCTATATCTTATGACCAGCAGGGGTCGGTGGTCAGCAAAGTCTTGTGAGCACTACTTTATCAAACAAACAAATAAATTTTAAGGTATGGCTAATTTTTTAATGAGTCTGGTTCATAATTGGGCCCTTTAGATTTCTTTTAGACGCGCTCTACCTTTTCTAATTAAATAGCAGTACTTAGCCAGAGGGTGATTTATTCAATTAGAGCTGCTTAAAGCAATTAGAAGTTATTTAAAACCACATGCTGGAAGTTATTTGGCAACCCTTGCTTGTGGTTTTATTTCTACCCAGGGTAGGAGGCTATGCTGCAGTTGCTTTCATGGATCCCTGCATGCACCCTGCGGGGGCTGGGGAGAGCAACCAGAGTTTAATAAACAGCAGCAACAGCAAAATTGCAAGACATTCACAGGATTTCATGATTGGGCCAAAGTGGGAGAAGGAAAGAAAAATGGGACTGATAACATGTTTCAAATAAGACCCGGAATTTGATTCCCAACAGTTCACTTCTATTCTTCAATTTAATTTCTCTGAGAGGAAAGTAAGTACTACAGATATTTATTTTATTTATTTATTTATTTATGAGACTTATATACCGCTTTAAGTGCAAGCACTCTCTAAGCGGTGTACACCAGTAAGCAATGTATGTGTGTGTGTGTGTGTGTATATATATATATATATATATATATATATATATATATATATATATTTACATTGCCCCCAACAATCTGGGTCCTCATTTTACCTACCCCGGAAGGATGGAAGGCTGAGTCAACCTTGAGCCGGTGAGATTTGAACCGCTGACCTGCTGAACACAGCTAAAGTGGCCTGCAGTATTGCACCCTAACTGCTGCGCCACCTCGACTTGCAATCATTTGTTTAGTGACTGTTTGAAGTTACAACAGCACTGAAAAAAGTGACTTATGACCGTAGTTCACATTTATGACTTGCAGCGTCCCACTTGGTCATGTGATCAGAATTCAGAAGCTTGGCAGCTGGAATGTGTTTATGATGGTTGCAATTTCCCGGAGTCATGTGACCCCCTTTGACGACCTCCTTACAAACAGTGGGGAAGCCAGGTTCACTTAACAATCGTGTTACTAACTTAATAACAGCAGTGATTCACTTAGCTATGGCAAGGTCATAAAATGGGGCAAAATTCACTTGTCTTGCTTAGCAACGTAAATTTTGGACTCGGCTGCATTTGTAAGTTGTACTCCAACTGTTAAAACTATTAGGAGTCAAAAACAGATGTTCATGCAGATGTTTGCCAATAGAGCCAGTACTGTTCCATATATCTATGTATCTTCCATAAACTTATTTTATAGCTACTTTACAAATATAAAATATAGAGTAAAATGCATATTGTATATTTTGCCCAGATCATGCAGGCCCTGGCTTCATACTGGCTATGTACAAACTGGTCCTATGTTATAGAACAAACTAAATTCTCATCTGCGTCTCAAGATTTTTACCCACTGCTGGCCCGAAATGCTTTCAATCCATGAACTAGCAGAAGACTCTGGCACGAAATTTGCCATCCTCATTGCCAATTCCTATCCTTGCTCTACTGTCTCAGTTTTCAAGGCCCAGCAGTCACCTGACTTCCTTCCAAACTAATGGGTAACAAAAGCAAACTATATATCATAGTTGTTACTGAACACTGTTGACTTAAGGGGAAAGCAGCACTTTAGTATGGCGCAGGAAAGCTTAAGATCGTCGTCATCTTGTGGGCTGGGAACAAGGTGAAGGTGACATCAAGAGGACACAGCAGAAAAAAGGATGATGCCAGGGCATATGTGTGCTGTTGTTAGATACAAGAGGGGAAATGTCCTTTCCTGCAGTAGAGGCAAGATGACTTTCAGATTATAGAGATTCCTTTTAGGGAATTTGCACAAGAATCTAATGTTTTTCTTCAGCAGGCTGGGGTGTCATCAGGAGACTTTTCCCCCCCAGTCTCTCATATATGTAATTGCTTTGTATTTTCCCAATTTGGCTTTGCCTCCTGTTTCATGGTTTCCTTATTTACATTTTTCCCCCCTCCAGGTCCATTTCTTATGGTGGCCTATTAATCCTAAGGGTATAAGCCTCACATAGGGACAGGGTGGCTCAGCATGTCCCGTTCAGTTTAAATCTGTGTTAGTGTTGATCCCCAAACCTTGTCAGCATTAGCTTTATGCTTGCCATGGTCATGTTAGCAGTACAAACCTGCATTTCCCTTATTAGGGGCTTTAATAGAAACTAGTCTCTTCTGCCACGGTTTCTAAATGGAAAGCAAATCCATGTTTCTTCTGCCAAGGGTAAAGCTGAACTTATGGCTCAAGCAGTCTATGCAATGTTAATAATAATAATAATAATAATAATAATAATAATAATAATAAACAATTGTCGATAAGAAAGACAAAAAAGTCTGGATAGTGGACGTGGCAGTGCCTGGAGACAGCAGAATAGACGAGAAAGAACTGGAGAAGATAACAAAATACAAAGACCTACAAATAGAAATAGAAAGACTGTGGCAAAAGCAAGCAAGGGTAGTACCAATAGTAATAGGCTCCTTGGGTGCAATCCCAAAACAACTGGAGCACCACTTGAACACCATTGGCATTGACAAATTCGCTATTAGTCAATTGCAAAAGGCGGCCTTACTAGGAACTGCTTCCATCCTGCGACGATATCTGTAATACCATCAAACATCCACATCTGCCTATCCCAGGTCCTGGGTAAG